TTATTTTTGTGTGTGGCTTAATTATATATCTTCAATCTTTACAATGTTTTGTTGTTCTTAACAAAGGCGGAGGCATGCTACTGCTAGCCATCAAAAAAAAAAAGTTCAGAAATCGCACGGCAACAAATAATGAAAAATATTTTTCACGAATATCGATGGAAGTAAATAAGCCCCTATAGCTCAGTGGTAGAGCGTCAGTCTTGTAAACTGAAGGTCTGTAGTTCGATCCTGCATGGGGGCAATCAAGTTATATTTTTCATCTTTATTATTATATGTTGAAGATCAGATTTCAAAGAGCTCGTGGTTGCTCCAACCACTTATTATTTTGATGATCTAAATAAAAACAAAGGCAAATTTCACAAATCACCAATCTGTATTAGTCAACTCCCAACTCTAATCTACATCACCTATGCTGTGACCTTACATATTTTGTTTTGGGTTTTTCAGACGGAATTTCCACAGTGGACGAACCCAATGATAACCTTTGCAATTAATTCCACAAAGAAAGCATCCAAATCAAAACTACGAGAGTGGATCCTCTTATGGGAAAAAGTAGTCATGTGATCATATTATTTGATCACAACCACTCATTAATGATGACATAAGAGAGAGAAAAATGTATAATTTTTAAATGAGTGGTATGATCAAATAACATGACCACATGACCACTTTTTCACATGAGAGAATCCATTTCTCAAAATTACTTTTCATCCTCCACGTCATTGCCATCAATGCCACTAGTTTCTAATATCTCAATGAATCAAGTGGCATGTTCTAGGAATTCTCAACCACTTCTTTAAACTTCCGACAGTTTTGTAAATTTTTTGTATTTTTTTTTCTATGCGTCTATTATTTATCATGCATAATTTTTTTTTTTTTGGATACGGAAAACAAAAAACTAACTACACACCAATCTAGGTGTAGACACCCTCGTTAGGTCATTCAAAAACAGATGATAGCACTTAGGAGGAGGATCTTTGAACACCGTTAGCTCCGAGTGCAGTTTAAGACCTTCACCTGCCAACCAGTCAGCTACAGAATTTGCTTCTCTGTAAGTGTGGGATATCCTGATGGTCCAAGGCTTGTGGATAAAGGACTGAATCCTTCTAACTAAAGTAGCGCAAGGGCTGAGCATATCGCACTCTTTGGTAATAATCTGGGTGACTGTGGAAGAGTCACATTCGAGCCATAGTTTAGCAACCCTTCTCTCCCAGGAGAGCTCCAGACCAATAAGAACACCCCATAACTCGGCAAGGAAAGAATTTCCACAACCATTGAACTTGGAGAATCCTAGGATCCAGGCCCCACTACAATCTCTGAGGACCCCACCACATCCCATCTTCCTGGTATCCTGAACACAGGCACCATCGGTGTTCAGCTTGAACCAGCCTTCTTCTAGGAAGGACCTCCTTCCTAGGGTTAGGGTGAATACCAGCCGAAAGCAACAAGGAGTCAGCCAGCTCAATATTAGACACAAAATTCTTCACTCTCAGGCAAAGACTGGTCGGACTAGAAGATTTGTCATTGAAGACAAGGTTGTTGTGATCCTGCCAGATGAACCAACACGCTACACCAAAGGTTCTAGGCCAACTTGGGACCATTCCTTTCCTACGAAAAGGCTTGAGATTCCGCTCCAGCCAACGAGGGAAACTGATGTTGGCACCCCCCTAAACAAGGAGAGGACCCTTCAGGATAAGCCAAACGGAAGCGACCCAGGTGCAATCTCTAAAAATGTGATTGCAATCTTCATTAGGAGCCCCACACCGAGGGAAAGTAGGCGATGAAGCCAGGTGCCTTTGAAATCTGAGTGCATTTGTCATTAGCTTATTGCCAAGGAGAAGCCAAAGGAATGTTTTAATACGTTGGGGGCCTTCCCACTTCCAGGAAAGTGACCAGTTGGCCTCACCAGCGGCGGAGACAGGGGGCAAAGATGATTATAGGTAGAGTTAACACTAAACCTGTCGTCCTTAGAGAGTTCCCAGCAGACTCTGTCTTGACCATTATCAGGGTGAGGGGGTGTAATCCCAGCGATAAGGTCGATAACATGGTTAGGCAGCATGTATTTAAACTTGATCCAATCCCAAGCAACCGAAGCAGTCACGCAGTCAACCACCTCCAAGTGTAGGGAATCCTCTGGGATATTACAAGAAGCAACATTAACAGACTATGCAGGTTTGGAATCCATTTGTCGAGCCAAAATTTCGTTTGAGAGCCATTGTCGATGATAATCCTGGATCCAGAGGTTGGAGGCATTACTCCTTGTGATGATATCCAAAATAAGATCCTCCCCTATGCGATACTTGCTCCGAATGACCCTAGCCCAAAGGGCCTCAGAGTTTGTTAACAGACTATGGCCAAGCTTTAAGGTGAAGGCTTTGTTAAAGGAGCGCATATATCTCAGACCTAATCCTCCAACACTGTGATGAGAGCAGGGTTTATCCCAATTGACCAAGTGAATTTTCCTATGGGCTGCCGTGGAACCCCAAACGAACCCACGAATGCTTTTTTCCACAGCGTCGCAAACAACAAAGGGAATGACTGACGTTTGCATTGAATACATAGGGAGAGCCCCAATGACAGATTTTGCTAGGGTAATATGTCCTGCGATGGACAAGGACTTGGCATTCCAAGAGTTTAAACGGTCATTAACCATATCCAAAATATGGAAAAAGGATTGTCAGTTGACCCTTTTGTGATGAATAGGGACCCCTAAGTATTTGCCAAGGTCACCCATAGGTCTGAAGCCCAAAAGATTGCAAAGCTCTTCTCTTATAACATGGTTGACATTCTTAGAGAAGAAAATTCATGTCTTGGAGTCAATGACCTTTTGCCCTGAAGCATCACAAAACAAACGAAGGGTCTCTTTAATGCAAAGAGCTTGGTCACAGGAAGCTTCCGCAAACAACAATATATCATCGGCAAAGAAAAGGTGGGAAATTGGAGGAGCCTTCTTTTCCAGAGACACAGGTTTCCATCTTCCCTCCTGCATGGTCGCATTGATGAGATGCCCCAACCTCTCCACACATAGAACGAAAAGGTAAGGGGAGATAGGATCTCCTTGCCTAACTTCTCTTGAGGGAGAAAAATCGAAAGTTGAGCTGCCATTCCACAAGAAGTTCATCGTTGAAGTCGAAAGGCAGCAATCAATGAGTCTAACAAGGTTATCAGGCAAGTTCAGGTCAGTAAGCGTGTCGTGGATGAACTGCCAACTTAGACGGTTATAGGCCTTTTCAAGGTCTAGTTTGATAGCGATCCAACCCTTGGCTCCTCTCTTGTTCCTCATGGAGTGAATAATCTCCTGAGTGATGATTACATTGTCCGAACCCTGCCTACCAGAGATGAAGCTGAATTGGTTAGGGGCTATCCAAGAAGGCATAAACTCCTTTAAGAGGTTGGCCACTAGTTTGGTGATAATTTTATAAGAGGTATTACACAAACTATTAGGACGAAAACCCTTAATAGTTTCAGGGCTATCTGTTTTAGGGATAAGACAAATAAGAGTTTTATTAATCTCCTGAATTCTAGATGGGTCAACAAAGCACTCTTTAACAAGGTTGCAGATTGACCTTCCCACTACATTCCACTGAGATTGGAGAAAAACTGCATGTATGCCATCGAGCCTCGAAGCTTTAAACTTTCCCATGCTAAACACCACCCTCCTTATTTCCTCATCAGTAGGTAGTCTCCCGAGGGACATAAAGGCGTGATGGTTAAAGGCAGGAAACAACCCATTAAGGGGAAACAGAGGCATGTTCACAACGTCTTCTTTGTAAAGATCAGAAAAGAATGTGGTTGCAAGATTTACCAGCTCCTCAACCTCAGAAACCCAAACACCGTCGTCATTCTTCAGAGTGTCTATCCTATTCCTACGCCTTCTGATCACTGTAGAGGTATGAAAAAATTTGGAGTTTTTATCACCATAATTCAGCCAATGGCACCTTGATATTTGATACCAAGACAATTCCTCTTGGATCAAGATGATCTCTAGGTCCCTCCATAACTTCCTTTGAAGGGAGGAGAGATCATTGAAAGGAAAACGCTCAAGGTGGGAGTCTGAGCCCTGTAACCGTGCATAAATTCTACGTTTCTCCTTAGCTTTAGCTTTAAAAATCTGGTGGTGCCAATCAGTCAGATATTCCTCAAAAAGGTTACGAGCCTGACTCCAACCATCATAAGCATCCCAGCACCTTCTCACTATACTACCAAAGCCATCTTCTAAGAGCCAGCCTGCAAGGAAGCAGAAAGGCTTAGCTCCTCTGGGATCCACCCTGGTGGGTTCATTTATGAGTAAGATTGGTCTGTGGTCAGAACAGAAGAAAGGGAGGTGAGTGAGGAGTCTGTTTGGCCAAGCCAGATTCCAGCTCTCATTAGCACAACCTCTATCAATCCTTTCCTGAAGTTGACCCCTCTTCCACGTAAAGGGAGGGCTTTGTAGCCAATATCCACCATGTCACACCTAAGGAGGCAATCTTTGAAGTCTTGTAAGCTCCCTCTCCCCCGCCAACCTTCTCATTGGTGTTTAACAAGGTGTTGAAGTTCCCAAGCAAGACCCAAGGCTCAGTGCAGGACTCGTAAAAATTACAAATGTCAGACCAAAGGGATCTACGCTCCAAGCTGCGAGGAGAGGCATAAACGAAAGTGACTAAGTCAAAGAATTGTTAATCTACCAGAAGAAATATGTCTTTACCTTGTGAGATCTAACCTACAAGAATAGCAGGGCAACCCTACTCTGACAAGATGGAGCTTTAGCCAGAATATAATGTGTTATTTACAGCCCTCACAATATGGGTTATTTTATTAATCCAAAAATCGACTCGATTATATAATGAAGGTCAGGGTTATTTACAGTCCTCACAAAATAGCGCTACCAATAAATTCGCCAAAACTATTAAGCCGATAAGGCTTTATTCCAAGTCAAAGAAAATCAATCTATAATCTCAATCTTGTCAAGGAGAAAATATAATTTCGGCCTAAAACTTTTGTGGATTAACCATGTTCCCTCATAGTAGCTGTGTCCCCTTCATCGAATCTGAAGAATAATCAAGCCCTCAAATAACCGTAAAAATTAATTACCAACCCAGCGCCTCTTTCGAGCTGGCCTATGTTGCTTGATTTCACCTGTATCTATTATTGAGTCATTGTTGAGCTTCAAACTCTCTTCTGCTTCTTTTTTCATTGTGATAGGCTGCTTAAAGCGCTCCCTACGTTTTTCCATCTTGGCTATTGAATCAATAATCCTTTGATTGTCATAACCACCTATAAACTGGTCACAATTATTTTCTTTTTGTGATATTCTCTTCTTCACACCGTCAGTCAGTGCTGCACCTTCAGAAACATCTCTTCTGGACACAGAAGCCTCTATGTATGGTTCTTCTGTTACAATCTGACCTTCCTCAATATCCGAGCTTTCTTCTTTCTGCCCCTTATCTGGAAGGTTCTGAAGCCATTTCTTGTTTTCATGGTTGCTCTCATATTTTGAGGTGTCGAATTTGATGGCCTTCTTGTGAGATTCATCAAAACCCACAAAAGCTCTCTGCTTCTTAGATATCCCCTGATCGATATATTCAAGCCTACCATTGCACAAGACTCCGGATTTTCTTGCATGAAACTGCAGAATCATGAGGACACATCACAAATTTATAATCAAACCAAACACCAGGAAAATATCAACACATCTAACAAATAAAAAACACTAATGTTGGACACATGCAGTATAATGCATGTGTGATAAATGTGAGTCGCAGAGTAAAGTGCCAATTATAAACATAGAAACTAACAGAATGCACACAAGCAGTAACAAACCATTAAAGTGACATGGTAAATAAAGGTATTAGCCACCCTCTTTCAAGCTTTGTTCATGAAATAAATATGATAACAATATGACATACAATAGTCATTGAAGTTATAGTCAGCTTAGTCATCCGTTCAATATAATACAGTATACAGCATCTTCAAGTTAAGCTAAACGCTTCTGGACCAATCTAATTATGAGAAATACGAGAACTAAAAGTATGAGTGACACTGAAACCATAAAATTTATATCAGACCAAGATAATCTAAGCATGAAGGCTATAACAAATTAAATCTGGTATAGGGTGGACAATGTCTTTTCAACACAAAATAAACAAACAATAAAATAAATACAGCTTCATGCTACCAGTCATCTGCTTTGGAGATCATTTTAAAGAACTAAAACTCCATGTTTTCTTAAAAAGCCCTTAATACCAAAACCAGAAACTAGTCACTACAGCATACATATCTTAATCATACCATATGCGGACAAGCACTATTAGCAGAGAAAGGTAAATGAGTGAGAAGACATCATATAACGTTAAAATAAATTAAGAGTATCTTAGATAATCTCTTAGGAATGGTTTTTATATTCCTTATATTTCATGATTTATTTCCTTATTTTAGGAGTCTACTATTAGTATAAATAGAGATTAGTACTTTGCAGTTTGTATCACATCACATCACATCTTTGCCAACAATATCAATATAATTTTATTCTTAGTATTCGTTTTCATCCCTATATACCTAAATCTCTATAATTTCAACAAGAACCCTTGGTAAGGTCCAAAAGCTGGATCAAATGTGCAAGTCAACTTTTTATATTAAAAAAAAAATCTACTTGAAAAACAATGCAGACTTTTGAAATTCTCTCCCCAGTCTACGAAAATAAAGGTAATCAAAAGCATAAACAACATAGAACGCCCATCAAGCTCTAAGGATAAATTAGAGTATATTAGTAATAGATACAAAATTGTAACAGATGTTCTATCAACTATTGCTCATTCTTGATGAATGTTATTATACGTGATCAATATTATTCTTTTATTTGCTGGAACATTTGTCCATACAAGGTTAAGTGGCAGACTTCCCAATGCAAGATTATCTAACTGTTCAGAAATTCAAAAATCAATGAAAAATGTGCCAGAAATATATGTCCAATGTGGAAGCTCAATCAATTAAAACCTAAACCTAATATAGAAAACACATTAAGGCCAAGAATTAACTCAAGCCAAAGGATCAATGGATGTGGCCCCGTATCAGACATGCTAATTAACCATGTTGATGGCAGCAAGCTTAATCACCACAACCCACTACCATATTATGTCACATTCCCAGCACAGCTTATATACTTATTTGTAGGCTGGTTTAGAAGAAAGGGGAAAAAGAAGAGAGGAAAGAGAGAGAGAGAGAGAGATTTTAATCTATGATCAACAACAACCAAGCCTAATCCTACTAGAGGTGGAGTTGGCAAATATAGATGACACCCCAATATCACTGTATTATAAATATCACTGAACAATATGACAAATACGCAAACATATTTGACACAACCTAAGCATCTTCAAGCCATATTTATCTCATTTTAGTTGCAGAAAGGAAGTATGAGATTCTGTGATCAACAAAAACCAAGCCATATCACTAAACAATGACTTCTAGGAACTTCACAGATTTACTACCTGAGATTCTCTTGAATTTAGCTTGATAGTGATATTGAACCTCACATCATTACGACATGGAATCAGTTCAAATTTCGAAACCATTAAAAAAAAATAAAAATTGAGAAGGAAAAGATAAAAACACAGTAAATAATTGGAAGAGTGAGGGCAGTAGTGCAGTGAACATTGAATGAGATAAAAGCAACCAAAAGAAATAAAGCCCAACAAATGTTGAGTAGCTCATATGTACAAAGCACAGTAGTACAGGTTCTTAACCATAGTTTCCCCAACTTTACCTTTCCTTCGCCATTAACCAAGTCAACTGATTTCCTGCATCTCAGCACTGCTTGCCCGTGCTTACTTGTGCACGTAATCTTAGAGCTACCTTTTATACAGTTCTCAGTACCTCTCCTTGGCATACATAGAGATGCTGCACGAGTTTCATGATGCCTACGAATAATGTCATCCTCAGCCCAGTTCAGAAACTCAGATGGTGACCTGTTAAACTGATACTCTTCTACAGGATAAATTGTGAGATCTTCATCCTCGGTAGTATCAGTATAACCACAAGACCAGTCACAGCCTCCATTGTCTTTAGCATGTTTATACCTCCCACGATCCCCAAAAGTTTCACTTACTCTTGCGCTAAACACATAATTTCTCCCTGAATCTATATAAGATTGTCTATGATACCTATAATTTGAAGTCTGGTGATGTGTATATTTCTGACATTTATCTCCCATTTTCCCATACCACAAGTTATCCAAAACTAAAGAGGATCTGTCACAAGGTCTTACCCTTCGGACAGATCTCCAATCTCTATCAATATGTGGAAACTGTTCTTCATGTTCATTATCAAAAGATTCCATTTCTCTATCAGCAGCAGAAGTGGACATTATATAGCTTTTGTTTTGAAACTCAAACTCACAATCATAAAAATCATTATTGCAGTTTCTGTCTCTAAAATGGGACTTGCCATTCATTATTCTCCTTTGAGTATCCCTCTCCTTACCAGGAAAAGATGAATGTTTTTGCAGAAACAGCCTTGATTCCCCATAAGAGTGAGGACTCGGGTCATCAGAAGAGTACCTACAACCAGCACGATACCAATCTCTCTCTCTGTCCTCACTATCTTCCATTCGAGAACTTGGTTTAAAAAAATGATCCCTCACATCCCCATTTTTTCTGTCATATCGGTTTATATTCTCCCTGAAGCTTTCTTGATCTTCTCGATATGAATATTTAGAGTGCACTGTCTGAACTGGGTCATTAACAACCTTTTCACCACTGTAATAGCAGGATCGTTTTGCTTCCCTATTATAAGAAACATCTCTTCTTTTATGACTGACAAAACCTTGCAGTTGTCCTTTATGTCTGTCATAACTGGACATGAGGATGGAGGAGACATCATTTTTATTTTCAATGTGCTCATTCAGATTCGAACCAGGCTCATGTCTAACACCTTGATGCCTCCATTCCTTTTCAAATGGACCTCTAGTTCTTGAATAATAAGGTATATTTACTGCTTGTCTGTTGAGACTCTTGTTCTTTGAACTCTTACAATAAAGTGGCAAACACTCCTTCAAGTCGGTGACAGAATTCATTGATTTCCGTCTTAAAGGGCTAAGACTTTTCTCATCATCAACCTGTACACTGTTTTCTGATGCCTCAGAATCACTGTCACGGTAGGAAGTCAGGCTATGCTCTTGATCACCAAGTGACAATTCCGATTCAATCCAGCATGGATCAGAATTGCATGTGTCTATGCCACCGCCTTCCTCTGCTTTTATTTCTCCCCCTGGTATTTCTGCAGTGTCTTCAGAATGTTGGTCTGCTTGATTCTGATGCTCATCTTCATCTACACCAGGAATCAGGCCACTTCTGTGGAAAGCAAAGTCCACATAAGTTACGTGAAGTTGATTACACCAAGTCCAAATCACTAAACAATAAGTGACTTCAAGAAAACATTGAGAATTATAACAATGAACTTATGGGTCAATCGAAGGGGAAAAACTGGAAGTAATTTACAACAAAGAATTAATTTGTAACAAGAAATGCTGACAAATATATATAAGAATTGATTAACCACAGAATGGAAACTAATATATTTTTAGGATGAAAATTAGCTGCAGTAAAGTACTACACTACTACTGTTATGTAGTATGTCTTTTGCCCAATAAGACTTCACAGATAAGCAAGACGAAAAGTTGACGACAGGACATTTTTATGTTTGGCAAACCAAAAACCATTCACATATCTATATTACCATATATTTTCATCTTAAATTTGATAAACTTAACCATACTTCTAACATGGAATATTCAGAAATGCAGAAAAGCCTCAATGAAATTAAAACAGATTTATGTCCAAGAATCCTCACAACAAAATATAATATATATAAAGCAATCACTCGGATCCAGTATTAACCTTTCCTGAATAGAAGAGTCCTCTGAATTTTTCACATCTTCCAACTGATCTTCGGACAGAACATCCTCACGTTCACTGGAAGAATTGAACATATTTCTGTTATTGCCTAAAATAGATTCCCCTTCTAATGATGTATCCATTACAATGCTATTTCCAGAACCAGAACAATCGTCAGAGGACTCGAGCACCTTGATCTGCTCCGAAACAAGAATAGTTACAAAAAAGACATAAGACAGTTACATTACAAAAATTGTGGTAAACTTCGAGTAAGTACACACCTGTATAATAACATCAGAATCCCTACTGCGTGGACGCCTTACATCTATGGATGGTTGGCGTTCAAACATGCTGTCCTCAACCTGAATTGCTCTGCCTTTTGGCTGAATTATCAAATATCATCAAAGCCCAAGTTCATATTAGCATGCAACATTTCATAAGATAGCTTGAAGAAAATTTAAAATATATTATATATATATATATATATATATATATATATCAAAAGTGGTAAAATAAAAATAGGTGTAGGTGTTAAAATTATAGGGAAGAGGTGAAAAGGGGGAAAAAGAAGATCTGAATATAAATGTGCGAGTTTGAGATGTGAGATGTGTTACAAAACATTAACCTGATGCTCCTATTTATGCTAATAACCTAGGTCAAGCACAAGTTTAGTGTATAACTAATACAAGCCCATGCCAGCAAGACTGCTAACATGACTCCTAAGACATGAATAACCGTAATATTCTAATTCTAACAGTGGGCAACTACTTAAGATCAGCATACCAATTTTCCATCTGATGAAGGATAAATAACACTCCCTGAGACAACTTGATCAATATGCTCTCTCATGGCTTCCTGAAATACTTGTCTTGGTCAGCAAGATAGGACAATAGAATTCACCATAATAACAAGACATATTACCTAATTGTTAACTTTACTTTTACAAATATTATGTTAAATACCTGATTCAATTTTGCAGACTCATCAACAGAAATACCAGTTTGCAGGGATGTTTGCCAAAGTTGCTCCTGCATTCAGTAGAAGTGTAAGGTTCTTATCATTTGAGCAATCCACAAGTCTCTAACTAAAACCAAATGTCAATTATATCGCCGCTAAAACATTAAACAGATAACCTGCTGACTAATGCCAAAATGATTGCAGAAATTCCAGTACTGATAGCTAGAGAAATGGATAAATTATGCTAGAATCTAACCAGAGAAACCAAGGGACAAGCATCATATAGAAGCTACAAGATGAGATCTTTTGGCCATAATAATAATACCCACCAATGAAGCACAGTATAGTTTCCAAGTGCTCTCATTAAAACCAAAGTTGAAGTAATCTGTTTTCTCAACTCCAGGAACCTTCCATGGCTTCTCCTTTAATGTATCAATGTTTACATTAAATATACTCCTGCAAGTAAGGGGGGAAATCAGGATACAAGATAATATTTACGGATGCTAGCTAAAACATAATACGTCCAAAATACCATAATCATTGCAAATTTCAGTATTAGGGACTGTGATCACACAGAACTCTACCATGATACATAGCTTACTAACACCATGTTTAGTTTATCAAAGAAACAAAATTAACCGAGTTCTGCATGGACTACATATCAAAATGCACACACTAACCAGTACCAAGGAAGAAACGATCCATATCCACATTGAACCACCATAGGATTTGCTGCAGCACACATATCACCATTCTGGCTGCCTTTATTCAAGGATGGACAGTAGGAAGCCATCCCCATGGACGTATTGGCATTCATATTATTCACAAACATCGACCCTCTACTCCTCGTGTACTACACAAATGAATCGCAATTCACAATAAACAACCCAACTCGAAAACTTAAAAGATTGAAACATGTCTCCATTGCTTAAACACTACCACAATGCCATCTACGATGGCAATTAGGAAGCACAAAAAATTAAAAAAAAAAAAAAAAAATACACAGAGTACCACTTCAACTGAGAAAATAACTAAAAAAAGATCAGAGAAAAACGGAAAATAATCAAAATATCACTCCATTTATGAAGCGAATCTTTTTAAGACACTGCTTATTCATTACAGTATCCATAAACAATTGAAACCGCAATATCCAATTCCAAGTTTTATCCAAAACAAAATAAAATCGAAATAAAAAACACAAACCTTCGCCTTATGATGAAAAAATCTGGAACCGTGACCACCTCTGATCCCATTTTTGCTCACCAATTCCGAACCGTGATCATCACCCTCATCCCCATCACCGTCTTCATCGCAACCAACAACACCGGCAGGAATATCTTCGTCATTCAAGACGATATTCAAATCGTCATCGTCGTCGCTGTCGCTCGCAACACAATTGTCATTCACTGAGTCATTGTTCTTCTCCTGGTCAAGATTGACACCATTACTGTTAGCATTGGCTTCCTCTTCTTCTTCTTCTTCTTCTTCTTTGGGGAATGTATTGGGAACTTCAACGTCGGTGGCGTAGAGTTCGCCGAAATCGTCATCGTTAAAATCTTCCATTTTCAGTTACTGAGTGTGAGTGTGAGTGTGAGTGTGAGGGAAACCCACACCCCAAAGTACTACTAACGCCACCTAAAACCCTCACAAAATCTTAAACCCTAGCAATCATATTTTGTGACTTTTGTTTTATTTTTTATTTTTAAATTTTCTATCTTCAAACACAAACTCTTTTATTATAAAATACTATAATTTTTCTTAAAAAATATAATATTATGTTGTTTAAAAAGATTTTTTTTCCATAAATAAATATACAGGTATATTCTTGAGGAATATGTTAAAAATTAGATATTTTTAAATACACTAATATTAAACTATTTTCATTTAAATGATCAGGAAGTTCGAGTAATAAACCCCTCCGGCATTATGTAGCAATTTATCTTTGGGTTATGTTTATCTCATTTTATATGAGATAAACATCTCTCCTACACACAAAAAAGGGTTGGGTCTCACCACTTTTTTTTCTTCTCTCCTCTTACATGTGGGTCTCACTTATACTTTTATTTCTACAACATGAGGTAATTCTTTTCCTACAACATAAGAAAAATATATCTCTTTATCTTTATAACCGTTATAAAAGTTAGTTATTAACATTATTTTGTTTTTGATCAAAGCATTTTTGTAATCTTATATTATAAAGGAATTTCATTATGTGGAAACCTTGTTGACGTGTCGCATTGTGGTTCAATTTCACCAATGTGTTCACACTACAACATTTAAAAAAGTTTCCTTTAATGGTAAATCGGTGAATATAATAAATACAAAAAAGAATTATATTTTCAATTGACAGGATTTGTTACTTTAAATCAATGGTCAAGATTGCTTATTCATTGATTTATAACTACTAAATCACTCTTTGTCGTCATCTTTGTTTTTTAAATAATTGATGTTGATCATGTAATCTAATCGTTTTTTTTAACCTTTATTCAGTTTAATTCAAATCTTTACGTTTTTTGAAGAAAAAAAATAGGATATTCATTGTTATTAAAACAAATGACTGTTTTATTCCATGAAATGACTGTTAAAAAACGGGATATTCATTGATTTATAACTACTTAATCATTCTTTGTCGTTATCTTTGTTTTTTAAATGTTTATTCAGTTTAATTCAAAAACTTCACATTTTTTAAAGAATACAATTCTTTTTACTCGAAAAAAAATTAATTAGTAAAAAAAAAATATATACATATCCCGACCTTTGTTCCTTATTTTCAGATTTTTAAATTTGAATCTTTTATTAACCTCTTGATTCAGTGGAATCAGGTATGAGTGTTTTGTTATTAGAAAAAACTTCTGTTTTATTCCATGAAAATCTCATTTATAACTACTAAATCACTCTTTTTTCGTCATCTTTGTTTTTTAAATAATTGATGTTGATCATGTAATCTAATCGTTTTTTTTAACCTTTATTCAGTTTAATTCAAATCTTTACGTTTTTTGAAAAAAAAAATGGGATATTCATTGTTATTAAAACAAATGACTGATTTATTCCATGAAAATCTCATTTATAACTACTGAATCACTCTTTTGTCGTCATCTTTGTTCTTTAAATAATTGATGTTGATCATGTAATCTAATCATTTTTTTTAACCTTTATTCAGTTTAATTCAAATCTTTACGTTTTTTTGAAAAAAAACAGGATATTCATTGTTATTAAAACAAATGACTGTTTTATTCCATGAAATGACTGTTAAAAAAACGGGATATTCATTGATTTATAACTACTAAATCACTCTTTGTCGTTATCTTTGTTTTTTAAATCTTTATTTAGTTTAATTCAAAAACTTCACATTTTTTAAAGAATACAATTCTATTTACTCGAAAAAAATTAATTAGTAAAAAAAAAAATTATACATATCCCGACCTTTGTTCCTTATTTTCAGATTTTTAAATTTGAATCTTTTATTAACCTCTTGATTCAGTGGAATCAGGTATGAGTGTTTTGTTATCAGAAAAAACTTTTGTTTTATTCCATGAAAATCTCATTTATTACTACTGAATCACTCTTTTGTCGTCATCTTTGTTTTTTAAATAATTGATGGTTATCATGTAATCTAATCGTTTTTTTTAACCTTTATTGAGTTTAATTCAAATCTTTACGTTTTTTGAAAAAAAAATGGGATATTCATTGTTATTAAAACAAATGACTGTTTTATTCCATGAAAATCTCATTTATAACTACTGAATCACTCTTTTGTCGTTATCTTTGTTTTTTAAATCTTTATTCAGTTTAATTCAAAAACTTCACATTTTTTAAAGAAGACAATTCAAAAACTATAAATCACTCTCATTTATACAATTCCTGATACGCATTATTCTTCAACGTCGATGATTGCTTCTGTGTTTTTTCTTCTTACACAAAATATGTGTTCAAAATATGATTTTTTGAAGGATGTTAATCCTGCCAAGGAGGACTGGAGGATTAAGGTGAAGGTGGTTCGGACTTGGAAAGTTCCTAACTTTCAGCGTAAAAATTTGGAGGACAATCTTGAAATGGTTTTATTGGATGAACAGGTTGTGTTCTGTGTTTTAAAAATCTTCCATCTTTGTTTTGATCATTTTAGTTAACGTTGTTGACATAAGTTGGCTCCATTCTTTTGTAGGGTGGTAGGATCCACGCCACTGTCAAAGGTACCTTGCAGGTGCGGAATAAAATCAACGAAGGAGAGTGCTATTTTATAAAAAAATTTGGAGTTGGATTCAATAGCATGTGTTTAGGCCAACCAAGCATCAGTATCGTTTGTCTTTCAACTTGAGGACTGATGTTAAATCGATTGTTGTTTCTGATATTTGTGCGAGTCATTTTGATTTTGTTGATTATAACATCATTGAGAAAGAAACGTCTGACTCCCCTTATTTAGTCGGTAATAGATTCTTCCTCACTGTTATCCTTTTTTTAATTATTGCGGGTTTTATTTATTTCCCATACTCTTTGCTGCCTTTTTTTAATTTTTAAACGTCATTGGTTTATTCTGTATCATGACTATTTCCTTATTTTTAAACTCTTTGCGGTTATAGTTTTGTGTTTTTAATGTTTTGTCACGAGTAATCTTATTCTGTATCATTATTTTTTTCATTAACTGTGTTTTTTATGTTTCTGTATTCGTTTTTTATTATTGCATAATTTTTTTCACAAACTCTTTGCTGCATTTTTTGTTGTAGACGTCATTGGTTTAATCTCAGGAATTGGGAAAGTTTGTGATCATGTGGTTTCTGGTAGGAAGACAAAAATGGTGGTGTTGGAGCTTGACGACCTGAGGTACTTACAAATGTTTAGTTAAATGAATTATTTTTGTCCAGCTCTGTTAGCTTATATTTTACGCTTATTAACGTTGTGCTTGCTGCAACTCACATGTAGGGGTCATAAGTTGGAGTGCACTTTGTGGGAGCATTATGTGGATGAGGTCCAATCTTTTTTGGTAGACAACGACGATCCTCATAACGTCCTGATAGTCCAACTAGGAAGGATTAAGTGTTTTAGAGGTATGTTTTTTTCCAAACAACGTTGTTTTAATTTTTGCTTTTATAATCAGTTTTTATGCACGTTATTTTAATTAATTTTGCTTCTGTATTCAATATTTATCTGAACCTTTTAACTCAATAGGTAAGGTCGGGATAACAAATACATAATATACAATAAGGATTGTAATGGATTCAAAACTGAATGAGATTGTTGAGTTCAAAAAACGGTGTGTACCTTCTTTCTTCAGCACATTTATTCGGTTATTGATTAATGGATTTTCATATTTTTTTGATTTTTTAATTATTAATTGTTGCGTTATAGTCTCTCAATTGATGGTGTGGAAAGTAGTACAAGGATGAATCAATTGTCTACTCAGTCATCCTATTCTTTCGAAAATGATTTTCTTAAGGAGACTGAAAAAAAGTCTATCAGTGATGTGAAACTTTGTGTTGAGGTAAATGTTCAAATTTTATTTTTACTTTTCTTTAATTTTTACTTTCCTTTAATTCTGTCAATTTTGTATTGATGATATTTTATGTTAAACTGTGATTGCTTTAATTAAGGTAACTACCTGCATCACATACGGGACTATAAAGGCAATTGAGAGCAAATACAACTGGTGGTACAAGTCATGCAAAAAGTGTCCATTTTCTGTTTATAAGGATTTTGAGAAGTGATATTGTAAGAACTGCCAAAAACATTGGGAAGATTATTATCCGAGGTAAAATATTCTTCTTAGTTTATAACCTGTCTTTAATCTGTATCATTCATGTACGTTGCTGATATACAATTTCGCAAAACTCCAGATTTAGTGTTCAGGTCAGAGTTGTGGATAACACAGATTCCACATCCTTTATTCTGTTTGATCGCGACTGTGTGTCTTTGTTGGGAATGAGTGCTGCTGAATTGCGCGAGCTGCATTTCAAGAGGGTTTGTTTTTTAATTGATGTGTTATGGTTAAAATGTATTTTTTGTCGTTTTGTGCTCTCTGTTTGCGTTGTCTATGTTCTGTTCTTTTTTTTTTAGAATAATATTTTTTAGGGTGCCGATTTGGATCAATTTCCAAATGAGTTAAATGTTCTGAATGAAAAGTCAATGTTGTTCAAGATAAATGTTAAGCAAAAGGATTTGAACACAAATAGTGAGCCCAAATATCAAGTTTCCAAAATTTGTATCAGCGAAGACATAATTTCAGCGTTCATTAAGTCTCTTATAGATCCAAATGTATGCTACTTATATATTTCTTTTAGATAACTATTTTTCTTATACATTGTATTTTTTATTACGTTTTCCTGTTGTGTTATATATATGGATATGGATGATTCCAATGTGCCATTTTTTTTATTTTTTACAGATCATCTTGGAGAACATTTGTCTGCAACTTATACTCAATATGGTGAGCACAAATCCGATTTAATACGCAGTTAAAAATATTTTTATATTAAAAATGTCTTTTGTTATTTTTGTTACATTTTTGCTTTGTGTTACAGATACTGATGTCAATGACTCCAGTGTGCCAACTATTACCTCTATCCATCAAG